AACCCTAATTTCAAACCAATGGTGTACATGGGTTCCATGATCCTCAAAAAACAAATTGCTTATGAACCAATTGTTGGCCACCGGTACCATGGAACTGCATCTTCCGACGTCGCCCCACTGCCTTGTGGATTAGACCTTTAGGTCGAAGGCTTGGGGTGTGGTCCACTAAGGAAATTACCAGCCTCGGTCTGGGCACTCGGGCAGCGTCCCAGTCTCCACATAAATCGAATGATTTATTTGGTGCATATGTATTCGGTGCCTTCTTATACGAATGTTGACGTGCTTAAATAAATAAATAATAATAAGTAATAAAAGAAACCAGGTGATACAAAATCATTATTAAACTAACTTAATGTAAATTATGGGTATTAAATTATGGTTTCGACAGTTTTCTCAGAAGAATCAAATCACTTTCCTATAAATATAAAAAGTCAATGAATAACCCAACATAGAATACTGGTTAGTAAGTAGCAGTTGAACGCGTAAACTACACTGATTTTATTGGTTACAGAAGTTCTGATCTCTTGACACTCGTTGAACTATTGAAGTGGAAATAAAACTCTGGTTTAGCTTTATCTAGCATTCTTTAAATGTGATTTTATAACACGTTGATAATAAATCCAGTTTTGGATTAATGTATGACAATCTTATCGAAATACACACCCCATCTATCCTCGTATATAATTATCGATTTAAATAACCGGATCAAATAAGTCGAATACGAGAATGAATTCTAGATACTTATATTTCGTACACTTGTCGATCAGCACAGACAGAGAAACGAAGTGTAGGAAGCAAAGTGAAGCGGAGAACATCGTCGGAAATATGAAAACCAGAGCGATACGAAGGTAAGTAAGCCAACTCGTTTTGATAAAACGTGACTCAATATTTACAGTCAGATAAAAATAAGTTACAGACACGTAATGGATAGAGTGAACAATTAAAATATATACGTTCATATAAAAACAATTTCAATAAGCAAATAATTGAAAAAGTTAAAATATGACCTGAAAAGAATGAATAAATTAGTTTGTTCAGAAATTAGAATAACTCCTGTGGGCTTAATATGGTACCAAACACTTCAGTGGTTCACGTGCTACGTATTCATGTTGTATTATTTGACAAATATACTATTCTCAGATGGAGTTTTGTGGAGATTTTACAAATTTCACTTGTTGAAACCATGAGTAAATTAAAGCTAGATCACCATGGTAAAGCTGGAAGCACTGGACGGCCGTTTCGTCTTTGTATGGGACTCCTCAGCAGTGCGCATCCACGCTCTCGTCCCCCACGAGACTTGAACCCAGGACCTATCAGTCTTGCGCGCGAGCCTTTAACCATCAGACCACTGAAATGGTATTCAACGGTGTTAATGTTTATCATCAACCCCTTCTGATAATAATCACTTGCTCACTAGTGACTGACTTCAAGAGGCATTTCCTGGAGTTCTAGTGAGAAGCCGTTACCAGTGAAGTTCAACCAAGTCTGTTGTGAGATATCAGCTCACTGAAGTCAATGGTGTACGGGGGAGAAATAAACTATTCAACAACTTTGTAGATTTTTACCATAAATATCAGTTTCATATATATATAGATTTTAGGGAGAACTGAAATCTTCTATTCCATTATATTTATTTAGATTTGACAATATCAGAATAAATCGATTTTGTTTTGTTTTCTCATTACATATAGTTTACTGAACAGATTCTTTCTTAAAATTTATTATTTATTTATTTTAACACATAGATATTAGTACAAGGAGGCACCAAATACATATGCGCCACACAAATCTCATTCGATATGTCTGAGGGCTGTGATACTGTCCAGGTACCCAAACCGAAGCAGGTGGTTTTCCTAGGGGGTTACAGCCCGAGCCTTTGACCTGAAAGTCTGATCCACATGGCAGTGGAGCATCGTAAGGAGATGCAGTCCCATGAAAGCCGATGACCAACGATTGATTCATACACCATTTGTTCCTCTATGGTACTGGAGCCCATGTGCACCATGGGTTTGGAATCCAGTTAAAACGCCGAACATTCGCTTTTCGTCCTCTCATTTTCGTAAAAAACACCCCGCCATCTCATTAACATATTTATTCTATTCATTTTTATATGGTACACTTAGTCTTTCTCTTAGAATTACTATTAGCATTATTTTGTTAATTTTTGAAGTCATAATCTATTTTGCCTTTTCATAATGAAATACAATATGACTAGATTACTATTTGTGCTTATCATTTATACTATAACTAAGATACCCCACTATTTTCTTCCTTTAAATTTACATTTTGTCTTATTAAATTGTTTTCATCAGTCGCCTAGAAAAGAATCAAAAACTAAAGTCATAATAGAATGTTAGTTATATGCTTTAAGCTTGATGATTTGGCTCTTTACAGGTGAAAGGTTTTATTTCATTTAATAGTCAATTATATGATACACAACTGTTTCACAAATTCAACTTTTTACGCCCATATCACAATTTATTAACAATAAAAGAGATAATTATTGAGTCACTTCTTTTCTCTACTAAACTATATTCACTTTGACTAATGGTTCTATTATGGTGAACATGAATACAAGTGGGGACAATTGAATTTATTTGAATATAAAATTACAGAACATCGTGTTTACTACACTACATATTTAATTACGATTTCATCTAATATTACAATAATATCCATGTAACTTCGTTGTCATAGCCATTAGCATAACATGTTTAGTCTTCTTACAAAAAAGGATTGATTTAATTTGTTAATTCGATTAAATTTAGTGCGTAAGGAACTACCTATTCATGATAAGGGTAAATAACTTATTTCAAATGATTATGAAAAACAAGATGAATGGCTAATAAAATAGTGCTTTCTATTTATATGATTTATTTACCATCTGAAACAAGATATTCCTCACAAAAAACTTGTCGGTTACAGTGAACATAAATTTCTAATAATTCATTCGGTGGTATTTTGACTACTGGGAAAAACGTAAACCCTTGGTTTGATCCATTCACTGTAAATGAGGTATTCACAACTAGTGAAGCTTCAAAATTGATTGAGATTGATTTCCAGTTCACTTTTATTTTCAGCCAATATCAGTTTGTGATGTACAATACATACAAATAATTGATGGGTTCAGAAACAGATAGTGCGGTTATTTAAAAACACTATTATGAATCTAATTAGGAATTTGTAATAGTCGGTTTTCTTTAGTCATAATATATCGTGACAGCTACTTCAATATCTTATATTTAAAGTTCTATCATTGGAGCAAAGTGGTTCTATGTAGACAGATATGCTGAAGAAGACCACAAGTATAAGCTTGATTGTAGCCTTCATTCAAGCTACCAACGAGTCGTGGATTGTCTGTGATTTCTATCACCGTTATTGTAGTCAAATTAGTTATTGGAATAGCTGAACAGTTGCTTGTAATGTTAACACTTGTGTTATAATCCACAAAAGTAAAGTCACTTCATTTTTTGAAGTAAACCGACATATGTCCGATATAATTTATTATATACATTAACATATTACAGTAATCATTATAAAATCACTAATAAAAAATTGTATTCCGAAATTTTTTAAATTATCAATGTGGAAAGGACCATGAATTTATTTAATTGGTGACTAAGATGAATTCTGTAAGCGACTTACATAAACAAATAAACAGAAAACCTATAGGTCCTGGGTTCGAATCCCGTGAGTGAGATTGTGGATGTGCACGGAAAATTAAGCTGTTACTGTATGAAAACAAATTTGCTTATAAAACTTCAAGAAATGCATCTATTAAATTATGTTGTAAACTTTCAAAAACTATTCGAATTATTTCCCAACATATCTGGAGTCTCGATAGAACAATAAGAAGATGGAATTGGTCTTAAAAGATCCGATATAATTGCCTTATATATTTCGAACAATCTAGTCGAATATATTTTTTTCTGGTTAACGTTTTAATGGTTGCTGAGCAGAAGCAACATATTTACAATTGAAGAACATCTGGAACTCAAAGCAACTCTCAAACAACACCAAAGTCAGAATTTGCAATATAAATGTCAAGACAGTTCTACTGTATGGGGTGGAAACTCGAAGAACTACGAAAGCCATCATTCAGAAGATACAAGTGTTTATTAACAGTTGTTTAAGCAAAATACTTCGGATCCAATGCTCAAACACTATCAGCAACAATCTACTGTGTGAGGGAATAAACCAGATCCCAACGGGTGAAGAAATCAGTAAGAAGTGCTGGAAGTGAATAGGACACATATTGAGGAAAGCACCCCACTGCGTCACAAAGCAATCCCTCACATGAAATTCTCAAGGCCAAAAGAGAAGAGAAAGACCAAAGAACACAGTACGCCAAGAAATGGAGACAAACATGAGAAGAATTAATAAGAAGTGAATAGAACTAAAAAGGAAAGCCTAGGACAGAGTGGGTTGGGGAGTGCTGGTCGGTGGTCTATGCTCCACTGGGAGTAACAGTCGTAAGTAAGTAAGTGCCACATGTATACTTATCTAGGCATTTTATAAAGGTCATTTAAGTGAATGTTCACCTTAATTCATTCTTAAATGTTACACTCGTAAACAATACTAGAACAACACAAAACTTGTGTTTGGTAATTATTAATTATTAGAAAGATTTTGATCAATTTAAGTCAACTGAAACATTTTAATCATAATTATTGATATGGAGTTATGAAGATTATTAGGTGTTTTGATTCAGATCATGAATCGATTGATTTTAGACCACCATTGAAAACTCGAAAGTCTTTGGACGCCAGTTTCGTCCTTAACAATGCGCATCCACAATCCTGCTCGCAAGATTCCAATCCAGAGGCTTCAGTCTCGCACGCAAACACTAACCTTAACACTTAATCATAATTATCCATATCTTTTATACTTATTCCTAATAAACAACTCATTAGACTCAAACATGTTCCAATTTTGTGATGAAAGTAAGCAAATGAATTCTAAATATAAATAATATATTTCTATAAATGAAAGTATCTTACCTAATCCATGAAATGCAATATTACCTAATTGTAATAAATCATTTAATTGTTCTAATTCTGTTTTATATGACATATTAATTGTTGTTTCTAATTCATTTGGTTGAATCATTTTCATTGTTGAACTTATAAATGATGAATATACTTCATTATTAGTTAAAATAGGTTGAATTAATCTAGTTTTATTCAATTGAATGGAATGATAAATTAAACTGGAATTTCCATGAATTATTGATTGTTTATTATTATTATTATTATTATTATTATTATTGGATGGTTTATATAATAAATTAACATGATCAATATCTTTATCCTTATTATGCCCGAACGTTTTATGGTCACTATGATCTACATTAGTACTTCTATGATCATCAGTACTATTAACCATCATAGTTGTAGTATTTATCATAGTTATATTTGTTATATTCTTCTTATATATATGCTGATCAATTAAATGTTGAAATAGATAAGCTAATTTTTCTATCCATAGAAACAATGGACGTTTTTTATCTTCTATAATATATCCTTGTAATTCATTCATCACATATGACCATAATGTGGATAAACGTTTTTGTTTAAATTTATATAAACTATTTTCATGAGTTGCTAAATGAAATTCATCACCAATATAAAATATTTTAATAATTTCATCAATATCTTCCATTGAACATTGATTATTTAATAGATTTATAATAATTTTCGGTCGATTATATCGTCCTAAACGTTCAGCTAAAATTGAAGCAATTTGTAAACAACTAATATTTAAACAAAATTTTTGTATTTTACATTTTTGATCTGTACTACTACTGTTATCATTACTGTTATTATTATTATTATTGATTTCAATGGGATTAATAGATGAAACTTTAGATGTATTAAGTTGTTTGTTAAAATTTGGTATTCGTTCTAATGATGTAGACAATGTAGATTGTAATGGTTCTAGATTGAATAACTCAGATGATAATCGTAATGGTGATGATGATGATGATGATGTCGACAAAGTATATGGAGAAATTGATGATTCATCATATAATTTATACAATATTATCATAGTAATAATAATAATAATCAATAATAAAATCGATAATACAATAATCACTATGATCATTTGTTTACGTCTATTATTTGCATGAATATAATCAGATAAATTTGCACATAAATTATACTTTATATTTGATTTACAACATGAATATAATCTATTATGTAATAAATTATCAAAGATTGATTTCATTTTAGTTTTCATTTGTATATATTCAGGTTCATGATATACATTTTCTATAGTATCTAATTTATTATTTCCACATTCAATAAATGCTACAGATTTATTCGATGTTTTAATGGTTGTTAATTCATCATTTATAGAAGGTTTCATTAATACATCGATTGTTTTATATTGTTTTGTTAATAATTTACGTTTTGGTAAAGATTTTAAATTATTATTATTATCATAAACTTGTTCTTCATTAGATGATATAAGTGGATGGTAACATTCATATTTACTTCCAGATGATAGATAACTTTTATTATTTTTACTATTATTATTATTAGTAGTAGTAGGAGGAGGAGGAGGAGTAGGAGTAGTTGTTATAGTACCACAATTGTTATTTATTGAATTGGTTATATTATAAAACATTTTTGAATCTAATAATTCTTTACAATCTAATAAACCATTTTCAATTTGTCTACTAGCCATAGCAAATGGTGGTCCAGAATACATTGAAGTAAATTCAATTCTATCAATATTTCCTGTTGTATTAATAGATTTTAAACTAAATTGTTTATTGAAATGTTTAATTTTCATTATATTTTATTGATTATTTATTTGTAATTTGTCATAGCTACTAAAACAGAAAAATAATAATAATAAAATGGGTAATATCAAAACATGTAAACAAGATCATGTAAATAGTAATAATAATAATAATAATAATAATAATAATAATAACAATAATGGTATTTACTATGAATGTTTCACCTTTCTCCACCTGATTTAAACAAAGTTCTATAATACATGATAAATAGATGTTTCTTTCATAACAAACCAATCACAATTAAGCAAGTGTATATATATATATATATATATATATATATATATATATATATATATATATATATATATATATATATATATATATATATGTATATAAGATTTTAAATTGTATTGGATGTACATTTATAGAAATGTATTTTGTTGCTTATTGGTTAGAAAAAAAAAGTCATAAGTTGTTTCTAGTTTTTTTCTTCTCATATCAACTATCTTGATTATTTTGTTGATTGAAAAAAAATATTTCAGATTTAATTAGTTTAAAACAAAATCTTGTGTTGGTGGAGAAGATTTGTAACTCTGGTGGATGATTTTGATGGAGTTGTGTTCTTTGAGCTAGATGATTTGTTCGTGGAGCTTTCATCGTTCTTTTGAATGACATCATTAGCATAAACTTCAGATAGAAGTGAAGCGTCTGAATTTCTCCATATGTGGTTCACAGCCAGTATTCACACGTAGAAACTGTTTTCTTATATCTAAGATAAAATCTGAAAATAAAGATGGATAGTGGGTAGCAGTGGAATCCAGGATGAGAGTTTCGTCCTATTTGACACTCGGTCAGCTGGATGTACCTGCATCTCAGGACGAAACTCGTATCCTGAATTTCATTTATACAAAGAGGAAACAGTGATAGGAAAATAAAAAAATTGGAAGTGAATTGTTCAAAATGTAGCTGACATTTTTCGAATGATTTTAAACATCATACTTCTACACAAATCTACGAATCTCTATTATCCGTTGACCTGTTCTTTGTTGTTTCATCATCAAAACTGTAACTTGAAAATATAAACCTGGTTTATAGCTAAGTGATCACTTAGCGTAAGGTCAATATCTCCATGACTACTGTAAAATTGTTTTCTAGACTGCAAAAGTAACTAACATAATTACCCTATGAAGCTGATTACATAGATGATTGTCCTTTGAAGTCCTTAGTCTACTAAATTTTGAAACCTAAACAAATATTATCCTTACTCACTTATATAAAGATAACTCATTTTGTGCATAACTATTACATTCGATTCCCGTAAAGTTAATAATAAGTTAATAATAAATGATAATAGACTATAATGACAACGAAATCAAAACTGAATTATAACTTTGTTGAATTATCCCTTTACAACAATAAGAAATGGATAAATCAAATACGAAAACGAACAAAAAAATGAAGCAAACTAAATGTGACGAAATATTAAACGACAAAAACAAGTATGATTAATCAACAATATTAATTTTAAAAAAATTATGCTATTTAAATTCACTTGGTATTGTTTCGTTTGAATCTTACCATTGAGTCTCAAGTAGGACAAAACGCACGTCCTAGATTCTACAACAAGCCACTATCCATCTTTACTTATAAAGCTTGTGAATTTAGGCGATATCGAGGTAATACGTACTGGATACACATATGTCAACAAGAGACTGATCAATTGTAGTCTTGAACATCAATGGGAAGATTCAAGCAAAGCAATACCAAGTAAATTCAAATTCACCCATTTGCACAAGCAAGTGGCTATAAGGACTCATTAGTCAAGTGTATAACGCGATGGCGTTTGGTAGTGAGTTCGAATCCCAGAGTGAACCTCAACTCAAACGTGTAAGTATATCTAGCTGACGAGTTCAAAAAAAGACGAAACTCTCGTCCTGAATTCCACTGTTAGCCATTATCTATCTTTGATATAATATTCAAGTTATCAAATTATTGACCCTGTCAAGTAGTTTAATTGATTTTCTAGTTTCATAACTCATAGGATCAAATAAACTAATTAAAAACTTTATATTATATAACTAAATGTATAAATGACATTTTTCCTTTTTTTTCTTTTCCACATGTTGCTATATTAATTTATTATAGAAAAAAGAAAATAAACAATAAAAATGAGAACAAACATTATGAAGTGGCATAATCCTACAGAAGTTTGTTTTTGTTGCTGCCTAGTTTTTTCCAGATGTTGTTTTGTTTCTTGTGACCTTGAAGTTATATTGTAACAGGTAAACACAGTGATTATAATAAAATATAATTCCATGTTATTTTTCTTTTCTTTTTTTTTCTTTAAAAAGGGAAATTAATTACATGACCTTTTTACATGATAAATAAATGCCTTGCCATTATATATAAATAAGGTGTTCATTTCCTTATAATGAAAAGGAGAGAAGAAGAGGAAGAATGAGGGAAGGTGACAAAGAGTAGGAAAATAAGATTATAATATGAGAAATATATGTTCTTCATCAACAGATCAGACTATGTAAATCTAATCTATATTGAACATCTATTAAGTAAGTTTTTTTGATAAGACAAAAAAGGAAATCTATACACCTTAATCCTCAATAAAGTAGAACAAAACCTTTTTGGGTGATAAGTCCTACTTATATACATATATACTAGTAAATGAAATAAAGAGTTTAAAAACTTGATCTTAAGAATATTTTTAATACAGTTTTTGTTCTAAAACTCCATTTCTTATAATACATCTCTATTTCTAGAGCGTAAAAACTTTCTGTGTATATGTGCAAGTGAACTCTATTTTATTGAAAGATTTTCTTGATTAACTATTGTTTAAAATATATACTGAGATTGTCGACTATGTCATTCATTCTTATTAATAATCCATTTATTCATATAAGTGTAAAGTAGACTAATCGTACATTATAAAAGAAATCAACTTTAACTATATATCAAATGTCATTTTTTGACGTTAGTCCAACTGAACACCAGTCAGAGAGAACTCAAACAGGAGAAGGTTTACCAAAAAAATGACGTAAATGGTTCAAATTGTGTATTAAACTTAAATAAAGCACTCAGGTAATTTGTCATTAGAATATATATGATTATTCTTAGCCCTTCCTGAAGCCCTACTAAGGTCACTGTCAATCCCAATTTCGATTGAAGTTGAGAGGCTGGGGATTAGGTTAGGAACATCCATCCGTAATAACGAATCTTGATAACAAAACGTTAATCATAATGTAATTTTTCTTGTAATAACTTTTGATTTTGGTTAGCAGACGGTTTTTATTCGATTTTTTTTCCAATGAAGATGTAAAACTATTATCTGTGTTAATCGTTTATTCTTTTATTGTTGTACGTAGTATACTTCGCATTACTCAAAGTTATTACTGACTATATGAACAGGACAATTAGAAATGTGTAATTGTCGAAAGATTTTGAGTTATGCTATTATTCTGGATAATTATGTTACTGCTAGATACAGTGTTTCTTGAAAATTCAACTGGAATCAGTAAGAATGGATCTAGCAGTTGAATTTTTAAAACAAATGTACCATTTAATTAATAGTCATGAAAATCCCATTCACAAAGTTTGATTTTAATGAACATCGAAGAACTCCATAATTATCCTTTCAGTTTTTTCTTCATTGTATCATCCATCGTTTGTAGTAGCAAGAATAAATCTTCATCTCTTTTCCTTAGTTCAATATTCAGTTACATGAATTATTATAAGTATAGTTCCAGTCCCGTTGAATGGCCATATCAGTTTTATTATCGTTAATATTTCGATTAACATAGCTAGAAACAGATCATAACATACATTAAAAGAAAATCTATATCAAGACATTCTACCCCCGATAAAACATGTTGACAGGAATTTTTTTTTAAACTCTATTTTATGGATACTTATTTCTAACATAATGTTCCAAGAAAGAAAAGAACTTTGGTCGTAAAACAAGCAAGATAACAAATGAGCAGATAGTTGCTACACCTTAAGATGTAATATTAATAATAGTAAAGATAATAATAATAATATTAATAATAAAATCTGATTAGATTCGAAACAATCATTTGCTCTTTCTCGTTGTAACAAGCGTATTTATAGAAAAGTCTTCGTATATTCTCTCTGAATGTTCATATATTTAAAACTAAGTCTATTTAAAATGTTATTTCTTCTCTTTAAAAGTAATAAATAGCCTATAGTTTTTATATTTTGAAAAAAAATTAATTTAATTCAATGTTGGAGGTGACGTAAATAGTCTCATGTTGAAACGGACACTTAAATTAGCCATCAACCGGACATTTTATGCAATTCAACTTGTCATTATTGAAAGGACAAGGTCTATGTTTCATCAAAAGCACAAACAACACGTAAACGATTGTGTCACATCCTATTGTATCTATCAATTTACATGTATGTGTGGAAAACACGTACATAGGAAGGAGTAATCGTGATCTGCAATTAAGAGTGGGTGAACACATATCAAATTTGAAAGATAATTCTCATTTAAATATTAAAAATTAAACACACGAAGTTCAGCTAAGAGATCTCTTTTCAATGAATTTATTATGAAGCTGTATATTCGTATACATATGGAAATTTGTTTTAGTACTTTGACTAAAACGTTTGTATAAATATAAAATTATACAACTTGGAGAGAGATCCCTTCGCTGAACATAACAAAATGGCTGCAGAAACAAATGAATTCCAATGGTCAAATAAGATCACAGGATAAAACAACATCAATCTCCATTTCGAAACTGGTCATAAGGTTGACATCAAGTCAGCATATGTAGTGTTGTCTAAAAGCCTTCAAGGACTTATACTAAGGTTTATTGAAGCATTGGTTATACGGAAAATGAAACCCCCTTTATGCGTTAAAAAACAATTTGTCCTAACCCTTAACCTACCCAAAGTGGTAATCATATTGTTTTTGTGTACTTTATTTTTTCTCTTTGTTACGGCCTACCTTTAACCTGTCTAGTTGACCTTTTAATTTTCTTATAAAAATGTCTGAACAAGTATATGTGTGATCAGATTGTACGAAATGTATTGCACTAATATATCACATAATTCTGATAAACTTCGTCTTCTCATTGGAATTTTCCAAATGTGGATTGTTTTATTTTTTCTTAAATGTTTACGAAATATAATGTACATCAATAACTCTAGGATCCAGTTATATGTAGTTGATGAGTCCCAAGTCGAAAGAAT